CATCCCAAACAGAAACTCTGTACCATTTAAGCAATAACGCTCCATGCCCTCCTCCCCTGCGCCCAGCCCCTCCCTGGGAACCTCTATTCTACTTTCTGTCTCCATGCACTTGCCAAGTCTAAGGATCTCATAGGAATGGAATCATACAATATGTGTCCTCTTATGTATGGCTTATTTCACTTAGCATAATGACTCAGGGGTTGCCAAAGATATAGCATATCTCAGAACTTCATTCCTTTTTATGGTTGAATAATATTCATTGGTTTATAGTCTACATTTTGTTTCCATTGATCTGTGGGTAGGCACTGGTTTGTTTTCACCATTTGGTTATTGTGAAGAATGCTGCTGTGAACACTGATACACAGTATCTGTCTGAGTCCCTGTTTTGGGTTCTTTGGGTGTATCCCCTGGAGTGAAATCACTGGGTCACATGGTTATTCTATTTTAACACTTTGAGGAACCACCACATTTCCCCCCCCGACCATGGGTGCTCCGTTTTATATTCATACCACAATGCAGGAGGATTCCTCAGAGGGTGGGTGGGGGGGTGGGAGGTAATCAACCAAAGACCTTGTATACATAACCCATGGATGCAGACAGTGGGGTGGTGAGGGCCTGGGGCAGGGGGCAGGGGTGGGCTGGAGGGGGTCAATGGGGGGGGGGGGGAAGGGGACACATGTAATACTTTCCACAATAAAGATTAAAAACAACAACAACAATGCACGAGGATTCCTATTTCTCCATGTCCTTGGTTCTTTGAGGTCCCTTGGGAGATCCTTCCTGGTTAGCTTGGCAAACTCTTACTCATCCTTCAAAGCCCATTTCAAATGTTATCTATTCACAGAGCCCTTTCTAAACATTCCTTACATTTCTAGGCAAGGTTCATCACTGCCATGTCTGCATCTTGCCTTGCTTTGCTTTTGCACCTACTGTACTCCATACATTTGTTATGCCTTCATGTCGCCCACTGGACTTTGAACTTACTGAGGGTAGGAACCACGTTGGATTCGACTCTCAGTCACTAGCGCCAGAGAGAAAGAGGGAAGTCAAGGATGATTCCTCCGTCATCCTGCTCAGTTCTTCTTGCCTCTAGGCCTTTGCCTATGCTGTTCCTCTACCTGGAAGACCACTCCTTCCCTTCGCCTGGGGAACGCCTGCTTGTGCACCAGTTCTCACTTATCTCTCACTTTCTACCAGAAACCTTCCCAGCTCCCCTCCCCCCACCCCCTACCAGGGAGCCCCTCTTCTGTGTTCCCACAGAATTCTAGGTCTCCTCCTAGCCCAGCTAGCAATGGCTGGGCATTGTCTGCTCATACATCTGTCTCCCAACCTGGACCAGGGGCACAGGGAGGGCAAAATTGTGTATGGCACAGGTCACTCCCAGGGCCAAGCACAGAATGCCATATTATGAGTCTTCAATATGAAAATATGACAGAGAGGGAGAGAGAGAGAGAGAGAGAGAGAGAGAGAGAGAGAGAGAGAGAGAGAGAGAGAGAGAGAGAGAGAGAGATTGAGCATTGATACACCTTCAGCACAGCCTCTGACTCCCGTCTCTGTTCCCGTGGCAGCCACACACAGACATGGCTCCGCAGGTCCTCTGAGATTCATGACGGGCACATTGCGGCAGAAAGAGCGATGCAGGAGGCTGGAAGCTGATGGGAGAGTGGGGACTAAATTCCACTGAAAACCTCCCTGCTGCTACCTTCCCCGTGTAACAAGTGAATAGAGAAAATGCACAGCTTTGTGGGCGAGACAGAACCCGGGCGGAGAGAAGCTGGGAAACAATACAACTCGTGGCTGGCGCACAAGCCTGGGCTCAGCAGCTGCTGTCAAGCTGTTCTCTGCCATTTTCTAGCCCCAGGAGTTGGTGCCAGTGACTCCCCTTCTCCCGGCCTCCATTCCTTATCTGCAAAGTAGGGGTGGCAGTCATGTCTCACTGCAGGGTCGTTGGGAAAATCAAGTGTATACTAGTAAATGGCTTACAGCAGGGCCTGGTATGTAAAAAGCCCTTAAGAAATGCTGGTTTGGGGCTTTGTTGTTACTTTTCTGTCTTCTTCCAAGTTCTTCCTTGTTCCTACCCAACAGAATGTTTCAGGGCTGGTTGTTCCAACTGCTGCCTGGTCTGTAGCCCGGTGAACCGGGGACCGCCGTGCACTACGGGCATGCAGGCAGCGTGCTGGGGCCTTGGAGCTGGTCCTGACACCTGCATGGAGCTGGGATGGGCCTCCCTCTTCAGATGACTCAGGAGCTCAGAGAGCCCAGGCATCCACGAGCTGCCCCCTAGTGAGTAAGCAGGACATCAGGATTCGAGCCCCAGGGAGCCTGGGCCGCTCCCATGGTTTCCCATCCCACGGGCTGCTGCCCATGAGGCTGCGATGGACGGGTGGCATCACCGAGCCTGGGACAGGGCGAGCTGTCTGACAGGCCTCTCTGGGGCTAGGGGAGCAAGCTATTCCCTGCCTTGTCCTGCGGTGCGTGTGTAAAGGACATTGTAGAAGGAGAGGAAAAGCAAGTGAGTGAACCATTTGCTGGGAGGCAGACAATAGACTCTGGGGGTGAAGGATGCTCAACAGTAATGGCTCACAGCAGGCTCATCCGCAGCATCGCTACCCGCCCCGTCTTTGCTTCTCTTTATGATGAACAATAGCCCAGAGAGGCCCCCACTCCTCTAGTCCAGTGCCTGCTGGGGCCCAGGAATGGAAGCCATTTATCCCATCTCTTGGAGACGTTGTTTATTCCAACGTTATTACGAAGAGCTCATAGAGGCAGAGCTCAGGAAGAGGAGAAGGAGGAGGTGAAAAATAAGGAGGATAGAGAGCAACTGCCTGAGGATTTGCACTTGGTGGAGGGGAGAAGAAGCTCAGCCCGGGCTCTCCTATTCCCAGGGAATCAGTAAACAGACTCCACCCAAGTCCTGGGGTTGCGAGGCTGAAAGCTAAACCTTGGCCATGGCCATCGGTCACGGGGGCTGGGGCTTCCACAGAGGCCCCTGCAAGTCGTTTCTATCTGCCTGTCAGACCCAATGAGGTGCTTGGGAATAGGGAACAGAAGGAGAACGAAGACAGGGTCCTGAGGAGTCCCCCCTCCCCGTCCCCCCGGAGGGAGGAGGGAGACCTCATTTTGAGGCTGGAGGAAGGTGTGCAGGGGTTGAGTTTTGGGGCTGGGGTCCACTCCCTCTCCCTCCCTGTGTGGCTAGGACCTCCCAGAACTTCAGCTGCCTTATCGTTTTGAGGATGCATTGTGATACCCATGCCACATGTTTGCCTGCTGTGAGGGTCCAGTGAAACATGGGAGGTGTCTCAAACATAGCAGGCGCTCAGCAAACGGCCCCTTCCACTTTCCTCCTCAGAATGAACAGGGAGAGGACGAGGCCCCAGAGAAGCGGGATGTGTCAGAGAGCGGATGATGTGATTAACCACTGGGGGTGGAGCCCTCAGTAAGTGTCGCTGCGTTAAGTGCTGTTGCGCACATCCTCTTGTTTCACCCTCACAAGAGCCCGATGTCCTGGATAGCATTACCCCCATTTCACGGAGGAGCAAACTGAGGCTGAAGCTGGAAACTTCTTTAAGGTCTCTCCACTGGCGAGTGGCAGAGACCTCTCTTACATTGTGCAGGTGGAGAGACTGAGTCCCAGAGAAGGAAGCTCCCAGCCTCCCCCATGGTGGGCAGATTCAGGCTTCCTGCCCAAGGAGGGGGGAGGGAGTGGGCAGGGACTTGGGGGCAGACAAACCTGGGTTTGGATTCTAGCTCCATGACTTATTTGCATGTCTTTAGGCAAGTGCCTCTGCAATCAAGCCTCTTCTTCCTCATCTTCAAGGTGGGCATAATAGTCACGACCTGGCCAGGTCTGAGGATTAAACCCAAGGGCTTCGACTAACTGCCTGGTGCAGATAAGCGCCCACAAAATGGGCAGCCCCTGGCAGACTTCTAAACAGTCACGCCTCCCACCAGACAGTGTCTGCCGTTGCCTGAGGAGAAACTCCCGGGTTCTCTTCCAAACGCGGAGACCCCTGCCGTCTGGAGGGTGTTTGCAGCCACGGGGAGTGCAGCCCGCAAGCTGCTGCTGGCCCAGCAAGGGGATGCGAGGCGGGTGTGCCCCCGCCCGGCGCGCAGGCAGGGACACATAGCAGCCCATATTTTGAGGGGGATTTCATGGTACTCGCTTTGAGTTGCCGCCAGAGAAAAGTCAACTGCCGCTCCTGGCTGCCGGGAAGGGCTGTCCTCCTGCCAGGGCTGCTTGTGCCTGGCACCGGCGCAGGCTTGTTTCAGCATCAACTGTCGTTTGCAGACAAATGTGTGCACACGCACAACCCAGCACACACGTGCACCAGCCACACGCGGAGTTGCCACGGCACACCGCCCAGGTGCTGCAAGCCCTGCCGGCTTCCGCGGCCACTTCCCCGTCTCTGCCTGTGTTCCGGACCCTCTGCCTCTGTCCCAACATGTTTGTCTCTCTGTCTGTGAGGGTTCTGAGCCCCTCTTCTTTCTTGGTTTCCTTACCTCTCTTCCTTGGACTCTCTGTTTCTCCCTGTCTCTTTGGGAATCCTCATCTCTGACCCTCTGGACACTCGTGTGTCTCTCTGTTTCTGATTCTCTCTGAAGCTTTCTGTTTTTCTCTGTTTGTCTGACTCTGTCTGTCTCCATCTGTCTCTATATCCATCTGACTGACTCTCTCTCCATCTGTCTCTCTCTTTCTCTCACTCCCCTTCTCCCCCCAGCACCCAAACCCTGTACCCATCTGACTATGTCTGTCTGTCTGTCCCTCTCTGACTCCCTTTCGGTGTCTGTCTTTCTCTGACTCTTTCTGTCTCTGTCCTCCCCTACCTCTCTCTTTTTTCTCTCTCTCTCTGTGAAACTCTCTGGGAAATGCATCAAAGACTGAAGTGGCCGGATTTCAAGTGACAAACAGCACTCCACCCAGAATCCACCCCCTCCCGTCGCACCGTTCCTCCTCCGCATCCCCTGTCACGAAGCCTATTGTGTGGGGCCCAGGGAGTTCAAGTTGAAGGGCCCTGGGCTCTGCGCCTCTGACTGCTCAGCGCTACCTCCCCCCATTGGCTCCGAGCAGCTTGCGCTCAGCAAAGGCTGAGCCACAGGGGGAGGCTCTCGTCCATAAAAGGGGGGTGAGGCACCAGAACTGCCATTCGAAGGGGCTTCGGTGGCGCTCACAGCCGCCTCGTTGGCACCTCCTTCCCAGCCGGAGTCAGGGTGGCCCTTGAGTCTTGGACCGACCACCTGCTGCCACCTGCCACCACCCTCCGACCTGCTCAGGCAGAAGCTGCCCAGGACAAAGCAGGGAGAGCACCGGTAAGAGCCAACGGGGTGCTGGGATTTTGTGTGATTTGGTTTTGCTGGTCCTCTGAACCTGGAGGTGGTGGGAAGTTCCCGCTGGGGGATTTGGGGTTTGGATCGACCTGGAAGACATAGTTAGTTAGGAGGCTAGTTTACAAAAGACAGACCAGGGGGAGACGGACTGTTCTTCGGAATTTCTCTCTCCCCACAGCCCCGGCTGAAACAGGTGGGTTTCTCTCTCCCGGGAGGACCACCCTCCGTTTTAGCTCCAGGGTCTTCTTGGTCCTACAATCCACCTCCCAGCAGTTCCCATGGGAGAGTGGGACCGACCCCTGGGTAAAGGAAGGGAGAGTTCTAGCTCATCAGAGTGGTTTCAAAGGTCAGTGATTCTCACTGGACTTTGAGAACAAGGGTTTGGGGACATTAATGAGGTCCCTGGCTCTGGCATTTACTGCGAATCGTGTACATCAGCGTACAACTGAGTTCAGCCTCTTCATCCTTTTTGGATCGCGTTTAATTGCTGACAGAGTCCTGGCTTGAGTGGCTCTCTTTGACATAATTCCACGCAGAAATGGGGCTGCCTTGTTGGGAGGGAGTGGGCAAGAGAGTGACACCGGCCAGCAGAAGCAGCCTCTGAGGGCTTTGCTTGTCCATTTTACTTTGAAAGGACTTGTTGCTTTCATGTAAATTGCAGTCTAGTCAGGCGGGAAAGAAGCCCTTTGCTCCCTGGTAAAGATATCCACACTCAAGGAAAGTGCTACAGAGCCTCAAAGTTTGACTGTAGCAAAACAGCTACTGAGTTTTGGGGGGTGGGGAGCGGGAGGGTGCCGGCAGGAGCCTGCCCAGGACTCTGAGGCTGAGGAGTGAATTCTGAGACCTGCTACTTTTTCGGGGCATCTTTTATGTGGAATCTTTACAAGCATCCCTTCATGATGCCTCTAAGCTTGGAGGGGGAACGGGCTCTTCCCATTGCTGGATCTGATTTCAATTCCCCTCCCACAGATCGAAGCCTCCCATACCATCTTTCTTAGGAGGGCTGGCGAAACAGACAGGGCTTGTCTTTCTCATTTGACAGGCATTCTAGCTAAGATCCAGTGCAGTTTCAAAATGTGAATCCTTTTATCTTCATTTCCTCCCTCCTGCTCCCCGCCCCCCATTGAACCTGCCACCCCAGCCCCACCTCTTCTTGCCTTTTGTTCTATTTTTGCAGGTCATTTACCTCCAGGCTTTGAGATCTGCCAGGGGAGCTGTTGCAGCAGCCCAAGCAGGTGAGTTACACTGCCTGAGGGGAGGGGGGGTTGCATTCGTTGAAGGGATCTCAAGCCCACCGCTTTGCCCCAGGTGAGCTAGAGGTGTGGGGGGTGGCAGGTAAGTCCTGTGATCTGCCAGCAGGCGGCTGGGAGCGAGTGTCCCAGTGGTTCCTGAGGAACCCAGCACATTTCAGAGGAGCAGGCAAACAGACCAGCCCTGGGGCTGTTAGAGAAATTTGCAATCTCCTTAAAACACAGGGAAAGGGATTCGGGTCTTGAGGTAACTCCATGTAGCATCTAAATGTCTGTCTCACAACACCCGAGACAGTGCTGGTCCAAATCCCTCCACTCATTTGCTGTGTGATTTGGGGATAGTAGCCGTCCCTTTCTGAGCACGAATTCTTCACTGGCACAGTAAGGATAAGAATAGCACTCACCTGCTGGGGCTGTGGTGAGACCCCTATGGGATATTGTAATGCTATGCCTGGCATGCACTAGGTGCTCAATAAATGCTAGTAGGACTGCTCAGGTTTTCCCTGTTCCAAGTGGCAGAGTTGGACCCCTCCCCCTCCCTCCCCCCCAATCTGCTCTAATCCTTGATCACCTCACTCATTATGTTGTGTGTCATAGCCACAAAGTAGCATCTAAAGTCTATTTTTTCTGTTTGTGGGGCGGGTGGGCACTGCTCTCCCCTCCCCAGCCCCTTCTCTCCACACAACAGAAGACTTTATTTCTTCATTGGATCGATCTTCCCTGACTCCCCGGCCCACTGCCAACCTCCTCGGGCCATTCTCACACAATTGTTGTATTTATTAGATGCCTTCCATCAGTCTGAGCGGGATCAATAGCTGGTGGTTTGATTTCAATGCGTGTCTGAGCAAGTGTGTCCAGCTAGCTGATTTCTCTCATCATTTTCGCTCATCTCAGCCCATAAATGATGGGCAATCTCACTGGGTTTGACAAAGGTCTAAAACGATTTCACGAAGACAGAGCTGGCCATCGTGGTGGCAGTAAACCTCAGGGGAGACACCGGTTAGCCAGGATCAGCCTGGGGGTGGTGTCCCTGAGTCCTTTAAGGTGGACCTCATTAACGCCTCCCACTCTGGGTCCAGATGATGCTCTTGGCAGAAGGAGGGTAAATGGCCCAGGTCCACGAGACACATCTCTTGGCTTGGGGGCTTCTCTCTGAGCCCATCCAGCCCTCCTGCTGGCCAGAGCGGTTGGCTGCAGGCTTATTCGCCAAGGGGCAATTTGTCCACCATCACTTGGCTCCTTGACCTATTCCTGGACAGTTCCGTTTAACCCGACAAGGGTTTATGGAATAGTTATTATGCGGTTGGGTCTTCAGTGCACTGGCAGGAGGAGAAAATTGATTTGTGATTCACATAGTAGGTCAACCTCCTGAATCAAAGTCCCCTTCCTTTCCTTCCCTTTCTCTCTCATTTTGTTTCCTTCCCTCTTCTTTTTACGCGCCCCCCCCCCCCCCGCCTTCCTTTTCCTACACCTTCTTCATCTCATTCCCATTCATTCTCCATCTCTGTTTCTCATCTTTACTTCCTTTTCCCAGGTTGTTTATCACCTCACATTTTGATTTTCTTTATTATTGTTGAGATGTCCCGCATTTCCCCCCTTTGCCCCTCCCCTCCCAGGCCCTGCTCCACCGAGGCCCTCACCACACTATTGTCTGTGTCCATGGGCTACGCATATATGCAGATAAGTTATGTGGTTAATCTCTTCCGGCTCCTCACCCGCCCTCCCCTCTGAGACCTGTCAGTCTGTCCCATCTCACTCTGATTTTCTAGGCGTCATTTCTCTCTGTGTGCGGACTGCGTCTCTGCTGCTCTTTTTTGTCTCTCTCCCTCTCTGTGGGTGTCTCTTCGCTGCCATCTCTCTCTGGTCCCCCCTCCTGTTCCTTCCTTCCCCCCCATTCCCTTAATTGCATCACGTAACAAAGGGTGGGCGTTCCATGGGGGTCCTGCTTCCGGAATACATTCTTTGAAAAGTGCAGTTAACAGTCCCGGGGTGACCATCATCGGCAAGCGTCTTTCACTCTTGCTTCTGGACAAGGAGTGGCCTGAGAGGTTGGCCAGCCTTCGGCGTGGGCCCTCATCCTATGTCTGTGTTTTAATTCTTGCAGAACTAAATAATGGCTCACTTCCCATTCAGATCTGAGCTCCCCATCTCCCTAAAATGATCATCCATTCTTTGTTAATGACGCTGCAGGCCTAACAAAAGCGCTGTGCTCTAGTTTTGGGGTGTCCCTTTGCCAGCCCACTAGAGACTCCCAGAGATGAACTTTATGTATTTTCTTTCCTTTTTTAAGAGAAAAGATTGATTTTTTAGAAAGAGTGAAAAGGAGGGTGGGGGGAAGAGAGAGAGAGAATCGGTTGTCTCCTGTGTGTGCCTGGGATCGAACCTGTAACCCAAGTATATGCCCTTGACTGGGAGTCAAACCCATGACCCTTCAGAGCACAGGACAATGTTCTAACCACTGAGCATGCCGGCCAGGGTGAACTTTATATATTTCTGAGTGAAATAACACTCCTGAAATAGCCTCACCATCAAGAATATGATAGTTTGGTGGGGGGATTTGATGGGCATTCAATGTGTACCGGCACCTCAGGGATGGTGTGGGGAGTGGAGTCACAGACTGACTGTAAGCCAGTTTCTGCTCTGCCTTGCCTGTTGGCCTTGACTCAGCCATTTCACTTTTCGGAGCCTCTGTTTCCCCATCTAGGAAAGGGGACTCACAGTGCCCAGGCTACTGGATTCTCCCGAGGGTTAAAATGCAGTAATTGAAATAAAACAAACAGCAATGAGCTTGGCCCCATAGCTGTGTCTTAAACAGTGAAGGTCAACTCTGCCCTGCCCTCGGTGCCCGGGACCTTGGAGGCACTTTGTCACTTGGCTCTCACTCTTCCCCCTGGAACCTGAGACTCATCATAGCCCCTGCCATGTGGGCTCCATGGGCGGCCGGCGGCACAGGGCGGGGCACAGAGCAGGGCGCAGAGCTCGCGGGCTGTGGCGATGCGTGCTGCTGAGGGTCACTGAGAGGACGCCATCCCCTCCCTGCGAGTCACGCCCGGTGTGGGAGGCCCCAGCTCCGGCTCCATTTCCCTCCTGATTCGTGATGTGACCTTAAACAAGTGATTTCATTTCTACCTTTTCCCATTTCCTCTTCTATCAAATAGGGATAATCATATGCGATAAAGTGCTTGGGGAGATAATTGCGATGTTAAATCAAGCCATTATTATTCCACGCTGGCTTTTTAAACAAAAACGCTCGCTGTTCCTCCAAGCCTCTGAATACAATATAGAAATGCCATCAAGAGGAGGTAACAGGGCACGCAGTCTTTTCCTTTTCAAGGAACTCTGGGCCCTCGGTGTAGAGGGGCCTGCCCTGGTCGGAGTGGCTCAGTTGGTTGGAGGGTCGACCTGTGCCCTGAAGGATCCTGGTGTTTATTTCCCTTCAGAGCACAGGCCCAGATTGCAGGTTCCATTCCCGGTCGGGCGCATGGCAACCGATCGATGTTTCTCTCCTACATTGATGTTTCTCTCTAAAAAATCATTCAGCCCTGGCTGGTGCTGCTCAGTTGTTAGAGCACTGTCCCACGTACTGAAGGGTCTTGGGTTCGATTCCTTGTCAAGGGTAGATCCCTGGGTTGCAGGCTTGATTTCCAATTGGGCACGTGGAGGAGGCAACCAATCGATGTGTCTCTCTCACATCAGTGTTTCTCTCTTTCCCAACCTCCCTTCCACTCTCTCTAAAAAAAGGGAGGGGGGATATCCTTGGGTGAGGATTAACAACAACCACAACAAAAATGAATTTAAAAACTCCCTTTTTCTAAAAAAAAAACCACCCCAAAACATAAAAAGGGCCTACTATGTGCTGGCCCTATAAATGATGGTGTCTTAGTCAGTCCTTATGGAGACATGGCAGGAAGGTGGTACCCCATTTACAGATGAGAATACTGAGGTTTGGAGAGAGACTTGATTCCCCTCTGATCTTCCCAAGAAAATCAGCTTTAAAACTATTAGAACAATTAAAATTATAAAATGGTTATAAAATTAATGAAGGCAGGGATCAGCAAAGGGCCAGACAGTTCAGTATTTTTGGCATTCTGGGTCTTTCGGTCCCTGTTTCAATATGCAACCGTGCTTTTGAGCATGGAGGCAGCCATGGACACTACGGCAACAAACGGAATGAGATATAGAAACGAGAGAATGTGAAAGAGATTTATTGTCAGGAATTGAATCATGTGGTAAGGAGGCTGGTGGGTCCAAAATGTCCTCCCTCCCCTCACCCCCCGGCCCCCGGCCCCTGCTTCCCTCGCTGGGCTGTCACAAAGCACCGTGAGGCGGTGGCTAAGGAAATGCTTCCAGAAGAAACCTGGAAGTGTGGAAGGTTTTTCTTGGGAGGCTATTAGGAGGCCCTCTGGCCTGCCAAGCCCGTGAAGGGGGCTCCTCGGTCACAGTGGGCCACGCAAGCCCTCCAGCAGGGTCTGTGTGCCTGCTGCCACCAAGGCGTTCGCTATCTACCTCTCATACCAGTGAATGGCCAAGTTCCTTTTCTCTTTAGCTCATGCCAAATCAGAGGCAACAAGCAGGCAGGACTACCTCTGATGTATGACTTTCGAGCAAATCCCCATAGCTGGCAGAAGAGAAAATACTCCCCCGGGACCCATCTGACATTGCTCAGTAATTGGTTTATTCCACCAAAGGAAGGAAACAGGATATCTTAGGAAAATCTCAGGGCTGATGCATCTTTATTAGAGTCACCTTTTAACCCAGAGATATCCATTCCGAAAGCCCAACACTCCCATTTCCAAGCCGAGTGAACTTCTCTCTCAGCCTCAGTCTTGTCCGCTGTATATCGGGTATAAAGACACTTACCTCTGGGTTGTCTGAGGATTAGAATAATGTGTGTAAAGTGGTAACACGCAGCCTGGCATCTCGTAGGCTCGTGAGAAGGGGTGGCTGTTTTAGATGGATGTGACTATGAATAAGGAGCACTCAGCTCTGCCTGGCACCCAGTAGGTCTTCCATATCTGACAGTCAGTTCACTCAACAACTTTTGTTTGTTTGTTTGTTTGTATCTAGTGTCCCAGACTCTAAATTAGCACCCCTTTTTGCCTTCTTCTTTTCCCCCCTCCTGTAGCCCAAGTAATATTGGAATGGAGCCTTCCTACTTTACTCTTTAAATCACCTACTATGTGCTAAACATTCTATACATGATCTTTTTTTTAAATTCCTATACCGATCCTCGGAAGTGTTATTATTAGCTGCCTTTTATAGTAGAGCAAATTGAGGCACAGCAGAGAGGGGTAATTTCCCCAAGCGGGCAGTGAGTGATGGGTCCACGTTACTGGCCACTTGGTGACCTTGCTTCTGGGTCAGGAAGGAACCAGAGGTCTCACCTCTCCTTTCTCACCAGCTGTGCCCCTACTGCCCTGTGTGCTCCTCCAAGTTGTTAGAGCTGTGAGGCAATCCAGGGGCTGCAAACTCAATCGTCTGCCAGGTGCTCAACAGGGACAGACATGAGGGGAAGCCACAGGATGCAGACAGTGGGGACCATGCTGAATGGGGCCTCTCTGTGATTGTTGCCAGATTAGAATGCAGACCTGATGTCTCCATGTCTCTGGGTGCAGAGAGCAAGGGGGAGGGAGAGATAGAGAGATAGAAACATCAATGATGAGAGAGAATCCCTGATTAGCTGCCTCCTGCACGCCCCACACTGGTGATCGAGCCTGCAATCTGGACATGTGCCCTGACCAAGAATCGAACCGTGACCTCCTGATTCATAGATCGGTGCTCAACCACTGAGCCATGCCGGCTGGGCTAAGGCTTTTGATTTTTTAAGACAAGTTGGAAATGGAGACTTTTAAAATGTAAAAATCTCCCAATTTTAAAATAATGGTATAAATGTTTTTAAAATCCCTGTGCACATCAGCACACCCTATGCCCATTTGCTGAGTTTGTCCTGCAGGTGGCCAGTGTGCACCTGTGGACACTGTGTTAGGCTGGTTTGAGGAAACCAGAGGCCTCCGCCCCGCCTGACCCTTCTGGACCCCTAATTTCTGTCCTTAAGAAAAGGGTACTTAGGTGATAGAGCCAGCACAGGTGACTGTGCGGGCCCAGAGGAGGGGTCTAATCCAGACAGACTTCAGGGGGAGGCAACTGAGGCTAAGGTTTGATGAACAAGTAAGAGTTGGGTCAGAGGGCGATGGGAGTGGGTAGGAAAGGGCTTCCAGGCAGAGGGAACTATGTGTGCAAAGGCTTGGAAGAAGGGGGTGCTTGCTTTAGAACTGCAGGTGGTGTGGCCAGGCCCAGGTCCAACAGAGCCTGCACCCAGTGTGGGTGCTGTATTTGCTGGGGTACCTTGGACAGATGGCATAATCTCTCTGTACCTCCATTTCCGCACCTGTAGAATGGGGAGAATATCTGTCCCAGCCTTACGGGTTGTTATAAAGACCCCTTATGTTAAGATGCGTATGGGACTCAGTGCGCCCGGATCAGTGTCAGCCCTTCTCAGCAGGAAAGCCCTTAGAGCAGTGGTTCTCAACCTGTGGGTCGCGACCCCTTTGGTCCTGCTATACCCCTTTCACAGGGGTCTCCTAAGACCATCCTGCATATCAGATATTTACATTATGATTCATAACAGTAGCAACATCACAGTTATGAAGTAGCAATGAAAATAATTTTATGGTTGGGTCACAACATGAGGAACTGTATTTAAAGGGCCAGAAGGTTGAGAACCACTGCCTTAGAGGCAACATGAGGCTGCTCTGGGGCCAGGAGGAGGCTGCTATGGACCCCTGGAGGGAGAAGCAGGAGGCTGGGAGGGGTGGAATTAAGGGGCTGGGTCAGTAACCGTGGTTACCAACGTGAGCTCCGGAGCCAGACCACCTGGGTGCGCATCCCAGCTTGGCCACCTACTAGCTTTTGACTCTCTTTAGGCAGGCGTCTTAACTTAGTTTCCTCCTCTGGAGAGCAGCATGACACCGGTGCTCACAGCATGCGGTTGCTGTGAGTATAAATGAGTCGTCCTCAGAATTGCTCAGAGCTTCAGAAGTGCTCAACAACCATTAGACCAGCTAGAATGATTGCTGTTAAATACAAAGTTAACAGATGAAAGGAAAAGATGCTGACACTGTTTTTGCCTGGGACAAGGAGATCTCAAATCAGGCCTCCTACTGCAGCAGCCTCGCTGTGTGGGGAGCCTCCGGCCAGCAGAGAGAGGGCAGTGTCGGCTTCCTTCCCCAGCTGGTCAATTCACTGCTCAGCTTGTAACAGCCCAGCCCAGCCCAGCCCTCGCTGGGTATCAAAGAAAACATGAGCTGCCTGCTCTGTGTCTGCATATAAGAGGCACCACTCGCCCACCTGGAACCCAATCCCCTCAGCAGCTGGTAGAGTGTGGGAGAAACTCGAAGGCAGGCGAGGACATGGGAGGGGCACAGGCCACCTCCCTCAGCTCTCTTCTCTGAGCCTCCCTGCTCAGGGGAGCCTCTTGCCCAGCCAGAGAGGCAGACGGACCTGAGTCCTCACCTTTAGTTGCTCTGCAACCTCAGGGGATTCCCCACGCCTCTCTGAGCTCCAGTTTCCTGATTTGTAAAGTGGGGATAGTGATGCCCACCTCTCAGAGTTGGCAGGTGGATTGAGAACAACATACAAGTCAAAGGCCTGTGCATGGGGCCCTCTGGGCCTCATGGAGGGTTCAGCTGTTAATGAGTCGGCTGTTCTAGAAACTGTGGTCATTAAGGGCACACGTGTGGTGAGTCAAACAGGATGACTTTGCATCCCAGCTTCCACTCACGGGGGCGGGGGAGGGGGCGGGGGGGGGATGGGCAATGCATCGCACTGGAAGTGCCCCCTCACTGGGAGGGATAAATGAGACGATGCATTTAGGGGTGTAGCTCAAGGCCTGAAGCACAGTAAGGGCTTCATAAATGGTGGCTGGGACCACTCTCAGGCTGGCTTTGATGGGGGAACCGACTGTGGGTTCTGAGGAGGGAGAGCTGCCCTGGGCTGCAGCGTGGGGCTCTGAGGCCCGCGGTAGAATCTTCCGAATCCCTAAAGACATGAGCAAACAGGACAATTTGCAGGATTGGGGCCCTTGGAAGAGGGAAGGACAGCCATCCCTGACAGCGGCATTGGAAGAGTCGGGTTACAAGGACCAGGCAGGGAGGGGCATGGAGCCCTGCCCTGCCCGGGTGGGTGTCTTGAGGGAACTCCCCATTGCCAGTTGGGAGAATTGCCTTCTGCCCCCATTTGAGTAACTTTGGGTCTTGATATTTGGTTTATGAAAGAAACAATGTTAGCAGGCTATTGTGAGGCATTCATTCATCTGCTTAGTGTTTATTGAGGGCCTACTGTGTGTTGGTCAGACTTGTCGGTGCTGATACCGCAGGGACTATGACCAATACCATCTGTGCTCTAAAGGAGCTAATGTTTCAGTGGGGGAATAATAATAGGGCAGCATGAGGTGTGATGTCAACACAGCAGGGTGATGTGAGAGAGGCCCAGGAAATGGGAAATGTTAAATACAGGGGTCAGCAAACGCCTCCCTGGCGACGGGATATTTAATTCACTTGGTTACAAGAAGGAGCGACCCATGGGAAAATCAGGTCAGAGTACTGCAGCCAGGGGAACAGGAAGTGCCAAGGCCCTGAGGTAAGCGCCAGCATGGCATGTTCGAGGAGCACAGAGAGAGAATTACAGAGACACAGACAAGACACGCTCCTGCCTTCATGGAGCCAAAGTCTGAAGCCTCACACAGCTAATTACCAGATAGTGGAATGTTTTCATGGAGGAGGCACAAGTTACTGGGATAATGCGAAGGAGGAGCTTCCCACAGAGCCTAGGGAATCAGGGAGGGCTGCCTGGATGAGGTGATATCTAATCGAGGACCCACAGGACAGGTACCAGAAGAAGAGAGGAAGGATTTCCAGGCAGAAGGAACAGGATGTGCAAAGGCCCAGAGGTGGGGCAGGGCCTAATGGAGCCATATGGTAATTAAGTAGCTGGATGTGGTTGGAACCCAGAGCAGAAGCGTTGGGGTGTAGGAGTGGGATTGAGGCTGTCCCTGACATTAGGAGAAGGCCACACATGGCCCACCCCAGCGGGTCTGATCACAGAATGGATATAGCTGAGCAGGGTGAGCAGGAGGGATCAGAGAAGGAACCGGAGGCAGGGAGGCCAGCGTGGAGGTGAAGGTGAAGCTGACCAGGGTGAGTAGAGTGCAGGGGTGGAGAAGGCAAATTCCAGAGACCTTACCCAGCAGAGGCCTGGCCTGGGGACAGCCTGAGCAGCGGGGACAGACAGGTGAGGGAAGCCTGAGAGAACTCAGAAAAGCAGATGGCCCAGTGTCTTCTGTCTTGGTATGTAATCAAAGCGGGGTTTGAAGGATGACTAACTCGGGTCAAGTCCTGGCTTACGCACTGCCCAGCTGTGTGGACAATCGCTCCCCCTGTCTGAGCCTCAGCGTCCCCACCTGTCCAATGGCACAGCCCGACTACCTTCAGAGCAGTTGTGCCAATTAAGTGTGAGCTGTGTAGGAAAGTTCCTAGCACATAGCACAGGCACTCACTGCATGTTTATTACCTTCCTGGACCCTTGACCCTTGGCCGTGGGCCCCCACTGTGCCTCTCTGGGCCTCTGTGTTGTCATCTGTAGAGGGGGAACGAGAATACTTGCCTTGTAGCCTGCCAGCAGGAACGGGTGAGTTCACTGCAGGCTCGGGATACAGCCTACAGGACAGGCGACCACAGATCTCATTGTCTCCTCTTTCTCCCCTCCCAGCAGGAAGAACCAAGACAGAATGGAGTGGCAGGGGCTGGTGCTGGTGGCTTGCCTCCTCGTGCTCCCCTCCGCCTCCGCGGACTGCCTGTCCCACTGCTCCTTGTGTGCCGTGAAGACCCAGGATGGGCCCAAACCCATCAACCCCCTGGTAGGTTTCAGACAAGGCTCCTGGCTGCCAGGCAGTGGAAGGGCCCATCTGTGGATTGAGCCCAAGGAGGGAAGAAGGCAGGCCTGGGCGGCGGTGTGCCTGTCCTGTAGACTCGTCCCATCTGTGCAGGGCATGCCCTGCTCTGTGGTCAGCCTGGGAGCCTGGGACTGCTGCTTTCTAGCTCCCATTCTCCTTCCAGACCTCAACAGTATGGCTGACTCAGGGCTGAGGCTGACTCAGGTTTCCAGGGAGCCTGATGCCTGGCAACAAGCAGTGTCGTTCATGAAGTGTGCTGACTTTGGGAGTCTGCATCCTTAGAGTAACTTTTCAGGGCTTCTTACCGCCAGGCTGATGGGCACCTCCAATTCTAGTCGCTCCCGTGGAGGGAGCTCTTTCCACCGCCCCTAAATACCAGGATCTGGTTAATGGGATCCAAGTCTTGACCCCTTTCTTGGGTCTGAGCATCCCTTGACCCAACCTTACTGGCTTTGCTTTGAGTCGAGCTTCCTCACGTTCCTCTCCTGTGACAGAAGTCTGGAGTAGAGGTACCAAGGGTGTGGTGGACAAAATGCAGGTTTGGTTCTGCTACTTTCTAGTTCCATGACCTTGGAAATATCTCTCTGAACCTTAGTTTCCTCATCTGCAAAATGGGAGTGATTCCATTAAATGATGATGATGCAAAGTTTTAAATTTACAATTCTAGCCACTCTTTATTGAAATGAGCACAGATCCCAGCAGGGAACAGCGGTTAAGCATGAGGACTTGTGACATTAGACTGACTGGGGTCCCAGTTCCAGAGTTGTCCAGTACTGTCATTATCATGTTTGAATACTTCCAGCACTCCTATGAAGTAGATGCTGTTGTCCCCCAGATTTGATGAACCCTTAAGCGTCCCCTCGTGTGTTCTTTCCACCGTTCTGCGTGGCTTTTGTCCTGCTCTATAAAGTGTCTGCAGCTCCTCCACACCTAGGAGAGGCTGGGAGAACCCACCACTCTCCCTGGAGTCAGAAGTGGAAGAGACAGGTGAGCTCAGCAGAGCACTGTGGGAAGATCTTGCTTCTAGTGTTGTCCCCGCCACCTGTAGCCATGTGCCCTGGGGAAGGCTGTTTCATTTGTCCACATCTGTCTCCTCATCTACGTAGGCACAGCGTCACCTGCCTTTATGCACCGCTGGACGCATTTGCGTGGGCAGCCTGGGCTTAGTGATCACAGCTGATGTTGGTTTTCTCAGACATGGGGCCGAGGACAGTTCAGTGGGGGTGACCTGCTTTCTAGCTCCCATTCTCCTTCCAGACCTCAACAGTATGGCTGACTCAGGGCTGAGGTTGACTCAGGTTTTTTGGGGTCTTTTGCAGACTTGCTCCCTGGAATGCCAGGCTGTCCTGCTGCCCACTGAGGAGTGGGAGAGGTGCCAGGGCCTCCTGTCCTTTTTCACCGCCTTCCCCCTGGGGCTCAACAGTAAGGAAGACTCGGAGAGCAAGGCAGCTTTGGAGGAGGCGTATGGTGAGCTGGCCAAGCGCGGGGCACCCTTCCTGAAGGAGCTGGAGAAAAGCAGATTCGCGGCCAGCACTCCGGCAGAGGAGGCTGCTCTGAGCAGGGGCCTGGCCGCCAGGCTCGGGGGTCTCTTCGGCAGGTGGGAGGAGGGATCAGAGCCGGAGCTGATGGGGGACACTCAGCTGAATGATGGCGCCATGGAAGCTGGAGCCCTGGATTCCGACGAGGAGGACCCCAAGGAGCAGGTCAAACGCTATGGGGGCTTCTTGCGCAAATACCCCAAGAGGAGCTCCGAGGTGGCTGGGGAGGGGGATAGTGTGGGCCATGAGGACCTGTACAAACGCTACGGGGGCTTCTTGCGGCGCATCCGTCCCAAGCTCAAGTGGGACAACCAGAAGCGCTACGGTGGGTTTCTCCGGCGCCAGTTCAAGGTGGTAACTCGGTCTGAGGAGGCCCCCGATGCCTACTCCAGAGAGCTCTTTGATGCTTAAACACCGCCCCATCCTGGAGATGAGTCAGGAGCTTCCCCCAGAGGAGTGCACTCATTCTTCCTCCCTCCGTTCCCCATCCCCACGCTCCATTCAGCATTGTCCACAAAGCATCCTACCCAGCCTGCCTCTCTTCTGCCTGGAGCGCAGTGTTTGTCTGGGTCAGCGAGGGGGAAGGAGGGCGGTTCCCCTCTTCAGGAGGCTTGTGCTTGGCTCAACCCTAGACTTCTAAAACCACCACTGTTCATGTCAGCCCCTCCACCCCACTCATGGGACTCGCCAGGTCCAGAAACCCAGGCTGACGACTTCATGCCTCTAGATCTGTTGTTCCCAAGCTTTGCTGGGCATATGCCCCTCTCAGAAGAAACATGAGCACACCTCCATGCAGATATTCTCATTTATCATAAAGCACAGCAAAGATAGAAATGTAAAGCAAGAGAAATAAACAAATAGATAGCCTCATGTTTTATTCCCAAACCTCAAAGGACCTCCTGTGCATCCCACTTTGAAGACTATGCTTTAGGCAAAATGCTCAGGCACTGCCTTTTATTGGAGCAGGGGTTTCTACACCAGAGGGTTCCGTTTCTAGCGGGTTGGATGTTCAGCCGGTGTGGTGGCACTCTGAGTTCTCGTTGTTTAGAAACACACAGCTGGAAGAACAGAGTTCCCGGACTTCAGTCCACGTTGGTACCCTGGACAGCGCCCACCTTCTCCCAGGAGAAGGGAGGGACAGCCCCTTCACGAAATGGTTGCGGAGAGCAGTTCTCCCTCTGAATGCTGAGATGATCCAGGAGGGAGCGAGGCAAACCAATTTGTTCTGTGCAACCAACTCAAAATGTGGACCAGCTCCCTCAGCCCTCATTAAACTAATTAAACTGATGGGTATCATACTCCCACCCCAGGACGAACTGAAGCTGCGTCGAGTTGATGAGGTTAAGCACAACCATGTTCTTGAGCAGCTGAATCTGCCACCAAGCGTCCAGGCCATCTGGCCAGACATATGCAGTGGGCACGGAGCGGGGGGATCCAGGAGCAACAGTGAGAAAGAGAAAGGCCCTCCTCAATCCCCAGGATGACGCTTTCCTCTTCGTGTCAAAGGAAACCAGAAAGAGGAAGGAAATGATTAAGTGCTTAATGCCGGATGAGTTCCCTTGATTCACACATCCCAGAATGAGAGGCAGAGATCTCCCGATGCCTCGATTTCAACCAGAGTTTTCTCTCTGTGTCTGTCTCTCCTGCTCACTTGTCCCCAGGCACTGTGGTTTGGTTTGTGGGTCCAGGGGGCTGGACTGGACAGGAGAGGGAATGGACTTGAGTTCGGTTAATTTGTATGAGACCCTACTGAGCACACCTCTTCATGCCCAACTCCCAGCTCTCTCATGATGTTCTGACATGTACTGATTGTTTTAGGGTTATTTTGTGTGCTTTTTAAAAACCCCATTTATGCAATTTACTTGGAATTTGCTTAATCCTTAGTGGGCCTGTGTTATTTCCCACTCCCTAAGTACAATAAATAAATAAAATTGCTGATGACTTGGGGGCTGTGTGTATGTATGCCTGAAGTCCCTAGAGAGTGAAAATACCATTTGCAGAAAAGAGAGCTGGGAAATGAAAAATACACACACACACACACACACGTTTTTATGTTAGAAAACTAAATGTAAGGGAATAGAAAGAGCACAAATGTTAGAGTGCGTAGCCCTAAGTTTGAGATCTGTGTGGCCTTGGGTAAGTCGGTTGGCCTCTCTGCACCTTCATTGGCTCTGATGGGGTCATATTTCCAATTCTGCGCGAATGCCAATCATTGTGGCTAGACTTAACACAATGCTAGGATCTGTCGGTACTGAACTACATGGATAATTAGAACCAGGGATGGATTCAATCCAACTCAAAGTAGCTGGACTAGGAGTAGGAAAGGGGGTGGTTCTCAAGAGGAGGACGGGAGCATGGTTCCCATAGGAGAGCGAGTGGATGCCAGACCATCCAACAGTAGCTGGTCACCTGCCTAGTGAGTGAAGGTGGCTGGTGGAGGGCAGGGCAAGCTGGAGAGTGTATACATGGGAATATGGGCCCAGCGTAGCCAGCTCTGATTGCTAAGAGACTGCAGAAATCTGGCTTTGCTTTTTTTTTCCCAATGTAGGCAAGTAATTTTTTGTTTTGTTTTTAACTATTGAGCAGGACAAACAACATGTTTGGGATGAGACACATCACTCTCTCACTACCCTTTTGTGACCTCTTTTTTAAAGGAGAAACACTCCTTTTGCTTTTTATTTTTAATTTCCCCATATGAGATGGGTTCCAGAATGGCACCCTTCTAGAATTCCTTTTCTGGATGCATTTCTCTTGGTCAAGGAGGATGCCCATACAAGGTGGACAGAGCATGGCTCGGGGCCACAGAGACCTGGGCTCAGGCCCCCCTTCCATGGGGACTGGGCAAGCCACTGCACTCACTGAGCCTCAGATTCTAATCTGTCCAATGGGGAGAAAAACACTGAGTTCTCCGGTCTATGACCCACTGACATTCAAGGGGTGTATGACACAAGTTGCTGCCCCGTCCAGATGTCACCCGAGTGAGGTTGAACGGACAAAATTCTCCAGGTGATAAGAAAAGGATGAAATTAAATGTTTTTTATTGACTATAACTTACGTGCTATCAAGTACACTTAATCGTAAGTGCATGGCTCAATGGATTCTTATATATGTTTACGCCCCTGTGACCACTACCCAGTCACCACATAGAACATTTGCAGCACCCCAGAGGGGAGATTATTTTTTGTATGAGCTGTTTGTGGAGATGGAGAGCAAGCCCGAGGAAAAATTGGAATAAAAACATCACCGACCTTGCGGGATACCGGTTCTTTGTCCGTGTCTCCAAGGCCACGGTGCAGCGATCATGCAGCAGGCACTGGTTAAGGGATGCCAGCATCCCGGCAACCTTAAAAAGCGTGTTCCTTCTAAGCACTCCGTTTCCACGACAACGCCGTACGCCACTGCCAGGGAGGAAAGTCTTGTCATCATGATCATGACACTCATAATGATTCCCTCAGATTCGCATCACCCCTCTCCCACCCCCAGCTCCGAACCCTTCACACAAACCAGCCCAGCGATGGGGCTTGTCTGTTAATTAAAGGCCCCACAAGCGAAGACGGCGAAAATCCCCACAACAGTGTCAGGAACAATGGGGCCCTAATAGATGTCATTTCAGCATTCTTGATTCATGTCTCCTCTCATTGTAGCTGTGGAGATTTATCACAAAGGTTTGTAATTACTCTTCTAATATGCAAATGCGCCCATGAGTTGTACTCCCACCCTGTTTGGCTTGTCTCTGTCTAACTCAGTCCAAGCCCCATTACTCTTGTCCCCAGGGCTCCCCTCATCCTTAATCTCCTTTGATGTGAAGCTTGCCATCTGAAAATGCCCACCTGGCTCACTCATAAACCACCACCCCTCCCCCGCCCGCATCACACCAGCTTGGCTCCTAAGGGACCTGCCCTGGTGCTGCAGAGCTTTCCCATCACAGGGCCGATCCCTGTGACGTTCAGACTTGGAGAAGGAGCACTAGACAGAGAGTCAGGGACCTGGGGACCTGAGTGTGGTCCTGTCTCTGCTGTGGGAGGTGGGCGTTGAGTCCTTCAGGACACGGTTTTCTGTAAAATGGTGCAGATAATATCCTTTCTGAGCTGTCGCATGGTGCCTGCTCAGCATCAGGTGCTGAGTCAATATGTGAAGAAGCAGGAGACCCTCCGTTTCCTCGTCTGGAAGTGGGCTGATGAATGCCACCCTGGCGGGTAGTGGGGGTCACGTGAGATGACACAGAACCCAAAGCTGTTGCATAATCAGTGCTCATGCCCTCCACCCACATTCATCCAAGCGCTTTTTAAAAGAACTTATTTCATTTTTTATGCAACAAGGCTGTGTTTAATGAACACCAAAACGCAGGCGAGGGCAGTAGGGGCTCAGAGGAAGGGCCGTGGTGATGTGGGTGGTGGGTAAGCGGTGACACCACCTCCCAGCACCTTTCCCCTCACAGCCTTTCAACAGTCCTGGGGGGGACAGCAAGGCAGGGGGGCAGCAGAGCCGGTGGCTGGCCCCATTCTACAGCCGGGGAAACTGAGTTCTGAACAGTTCACTGTTTGCCCAAAGCCGCACAGCATCCCTGGTCCTTTCTCCAGCCCCACTGTGGCCTGGCTCAGAGGAGAGCTGAGTAGGTGGAAGGAGGGAGGATGAACACCCCCAGGAAGAGCAGGCACAGTGTGCACATGGGCAGGGGTGGCTTGCAGGGACACTCAGGGGCTTGGCTGGAGGGCAGTCACCTTGACACCCGCAGCCCGGGCTGCTGCAGCACAACCACTTAAGTGTCTGCTTCTCCCCTCTTCCCTCCCGGGTGCCCAGGCCCTCAGCACCAGCTGCAGGAGGTCACGGGCAGGAGGGCTGCCCCCTGCAGTGCTCCCTGGCCAGTCTTCGCTTGGTGCCTGCCATGCACGAGTCTGGGGCAGAGGCAGGCAGGCAGGGTGGATGGGGAGAGGGGGCAGCACAGGAAGGTCACGCTGTGTCACCGACCACAGGGCTGTGACAGGGAGGCAGGGGAGGACACGTGCCATGCAGAGGGGCTCGCAGGGAAGGTGCCGTGTGGGCAGGGAGCTGGGAGGGTGCAGGCCTGGCACATGGACTCGTGGGCCCAACGAAGTGGAGGTGGGAAGCACTGGATGAGACAAGTGTGACACACTGAGGAGTCTGGATGGGGACCTGGGAAGCAGGTCACGGCAGTGACAGGGAGGAGGAATGGGGCCATCGAAGAGACTGCAGGGGAGCTAGACGGCCTGGCTGGTGAGGAGGAGGGCCGGAGAAGGCTCCGTGGGTCCAGGCTTCTCCGCAGGCCCCTGGGAGTGGGACTGGCTGGTTCGGGGTGAGTGGGCCCCAATCAGGGAGGCCTTTGCAGGTGTGAGTGCACAGCGAGGCCCAGCAGAAGCCTCAGGCTCCTGGGCATAGGCCTGTCAGTGGGCACCGGGGTCCTGGAAGCCCCGGGCCTCCATGGCAGTGAGAGGAAGTTCTCAGAGCAGAAGGGCTGGTTGTTGAAAGTGTCACAGTGGGGTTCAGGTTCAGCTGGGTGCCCCCTCCCCCTGTTGTGTACCCTGCATTGGGGGCGGGGGCAGGGGGTTCAGCAGTGGGTGGTTAAGTAGAGCCCCTACTTCACCCTTTGGGGAGGGGGAGAGAGACTCACAGTTTATAAATGAACACGTGGGTCCGTGTTTCAGGTGGCCGAGTGCTGTGAAGGAACATAAAAGGGGGCGGGCATGAGTGAGGGCAGGTGGGAGGTGCCCGTCACAGAGGTCACGAAAACCTCTCCGAAGGGGGGCATGAGCAGAGATGTGCAGGAGGTGAGGGCACTGTGGGTGTCTACCTGGAGGTGGCAGCATTCCAGGCCGGGGAACAGCGAGTGCAAGGGCCCAGAGGAGGGCTCAGGCTGTACAAGGAAGAGTAAGGGTGCTGAGGGGATGAGCGGGGACAGAGGGTAGGGAACAGGCCACAGAAGCAGCCGGGGACCCGATGGCACAGGCCCTCCAGGGACTCAGCACTGTCCTGGTTTCCGCTGTTACCCGTGGGGCGAGTAGGGCCCCCTTCACTCTCAAAGTGCCCCGGTTTGGACTCTATGCCATATTGTTGCCTAATGTATGGGCCGTGGAAAGGACCTTGACTTTTGCTCTGGGTGGGAAGGGAGCACTGCGGGGTAGTGGGATAGGAGGGATATGATCTGACATGGATTTGGATGGGCCAGGCTGGCTGCGGTGTGGCGAGCAGGCTGCAGGGGGCACCAGGGCAAAGGGCACCCACCAAAGATGCAGGGCACCTGGACGACGCCCTAGGCACAATATGCTCTCCTAACAGGCAGCAGTGGGCTCAGGCCACGGTCAGGCAGAGGCCGGTGCTCGGGACGCCGCCCGTGGTGCTGGTGAGCTGCCCTGAACCAGTCTGCAGAAGCCAACCGGCAGCACCCACTCCTGCCCCCGCCACACTAAGCCTTGAAAAATGTAGCCTTGGTGGTGTGAGCTTGGAGCTTTTGGGGAGAAAATTCCCTGAATTGGGGACTTGCTTTCCATAAAAGATGCGCCATTGGAAAGTGCATAAATGAAATTTTTGCAAATCAAATTGTATTTAAATGCACTGGGGAATATTGCTATTCAATTACCTTATTGATTTTATGGATTGCAACAGTGTCTCTTGCCCATTAAGGAACATTCGAAATCTCAGAAAAGCATCAAGCAGGCTCATGTGAAATGAACCAACAGTCAGGGTGTAGACACCATAGGTTTACTGAGCCCTTACTCTGGCCAAGGCACAGTGGGGATCCAAACATGCATAACCTTTGCCCTCAAGGACTTTACCATTCAGCAGGGAAGACCTCATAGAACAAATCGCAATGGAAAATGAAGGAAGAGTTTCTCTGAGGAGGGGTCTATAGCTAAGGGAGTCGTGGTGTGGAGAACAGGGGCCTGGCCTTTTGGAGGTGCTGGGGATGCTTCCAGATGCGA